ATGCCTGATGATTATGTGCAAATGATGCAGAGGTGTTGGGATGTGGATCCATCAAAAAGACCAACTAGTAGAGAGCTGAGTGACTTTGCTATAAATAAACAAAACAAAATTCTTGAAAATGATAATGGTAATAATACTACTAGTGGTGGTAGTGGTGCATCACAACAAGTATACAAATCACATCCAGATGCATATCATAAAAGTAGAATCTTAGATGAAGTGATTGCTAAGTCTAAAAGCTTTAAAATTTATACAAGTAATAGTTCGTTAAATAATCTCGATTGTAACCATTTTTTCTAAATGTTAACAAGGTGAATAAAATTTCATTATTAATCAATTAGAAATCACTACTTACTAATTATTACCAACAATATTAATTAATTAGATTCTAGTAACAATAGTAAAGGAATTGATGAATGACTAATTTAACCTCCACTATAAATTTATTCTTTAACTTTTTCTTTTTCTTTTTATTTCATCCTTATTTTATTTCTTATCTTGTAACAATATTTTGAAATAATAAACTTTTCGATTCTTGTTAAATGGTGATATTGCGAAGTATCACTTCGGCTAATTAACAATTATGGCTTAACTTTTAGGCTACTCTTGTCAGTTAATTCACAATAATTAGGTGCTTGTCAATTAATTAGCTTACGAATTTGGTTCCCTCTTTCTTGCACCCGGACGATTCTATGAGCACACTTAATGGCACCAGATAACTGTAAATAAATCAAGATGGCCCTTTGCAATGCTATAAAATCCTTTTACTCAATTTGTTTCAGTTGTTTACATTTATTGGCCGATTGCAAACTTGCTTTGGTTCACGTGCAAAACACTCCAAGTAACTTGTTTAACAGCCTTACATTTATGATTACAATAATACTAACAGTATTTCCTATTAACATTTGGACGATACTTCATTAACACCCACTAGTTAACCCAAACCTTTGCTAGTTCAGTAAAAAATACTGTACCTTCAAAAGTAAAAAATAATGTATAGCATCATCCATTTTAATTTAAGAGCATGCATTTATGCGTTCGTTGTATGATGATGTCTGACCAATTAAAAAGCCTGGTCGTAAATAAATAAGTTTTTCTTTTTATTGAAATATTATTATGTCTGATTAAATAAATGGGATGTTAAACATTCGGATTTATCAAAATTTACACATTTCTGCAAAAATTTAATAAAGATTTCGGCAAACATTCGGATTTTAAAAATCAATTCGGCGATCAACTATATAATGGATATTATTATTATTTTTATGATGGTAGAAATGGCTATAATGTTATCAGGAAAAGGAGGAAACGAATGTCATACATAACTATTATGATACACAATGATGTGTATGCGGATGTTGATTAATTAGATAAAAGGAATTCAAAAGGTGGTGGCGATAGATCCTCTATGTTTGTTTCTAGTTGTATATGTGATTATTATTATTGTTAGTTATTTTTCTTCTTCTAAACCATCTTCTGGTAATTAAAATATGGATAAAAAATTTCTCTGATCCTTTTTTTTTTAATGTATATATTAAAGTATAAAGTGAATCGGGAGTATTACTAATATTCCATGCTATATTAAACTGGAATTCCACTTCATAAATATATTTTTTACATATTAAGAGATAATAATTTTTGATTCATTTAGTATTATTTTTGAAATATGGTTTATGATTCATAATTACTTATATGGTTATTAAAATTTTTCCAATACAACCTTCCGAGCAGGGCTGGCTGCGTAACTCAAATGAGCACTTGGCTAAACTGACTAAACTATTTAGTCATATGTTTAGTCAAGTTTAGTCAAGATGATTGTTACTAAATTAGGTTTTTAACCCCCTTTACGCTGCCAGCCCTGCTTCCGAGTGATTATAAACGACTTTGTAAGGAACACTTTGACACAACTGTTACTGTTGAATTCGCTTTATTCTGCGCATTAATTGGAAGAAAATCTTAAAGTAAAGGTAACTGGCATTTAATAGTCGTTATGGTCCTAATCTGGCTCTAAAAAATTTATTATGGTTGAAAAAGTCGCTTGTTAGAAAAAACAATGATTCTTTTTTTTTGAATGGACAAAGATGTTGTTCGTGTAACTGTTATAATGAATGACTGTTATGTTTGTGATTGATTATTATTATACTTATTATTGTATTATATCTAACACCCCGGCGTTACACGCAAATTAAAATATTTTTTATTGTCGCGTAACAATTCTTTAATCATTAATATTAAAAGTCACTTTTAGAGAGAATAAGATAAAAACAAAGTTGTGTGTATAACATCACAATACTGATTACTGTATGCAGGAATGATCGCTTTATCACGTGACTAAAATTTTTTATTGAATTTGGAATTTGGTATTTTTTATTAATAGTAGTGGTTAGGTAGTAATAATAGTAGTAGTAATAGTATTAACAACTTTTGAATCTCTGCCTTCAATAAGTCTTTTTTTTAGAACATACAATTTTTCATTATTTAAAAATGAGCATGCCACCACCCGATACTATACCTAACAACACCACCACCAACTTATTTTCGACCAATGACATGTTGGCAAGACGAATCAAACCAATAGAAACCTGTGACAACTGTAAGAATCGTAAAGTAAAATGTAACAAAGAAAAACCAATTTGTGGGACTTGCAATAAGACTAAACGTGTCTGTACTTATAACTTTTCAGCATCATCGAAACGACCTCGTCCAAAAAGTGAACTTGAAATTCTACAAGAACAAGTTGAGGATATTCAGTCCATACAATACCAACAACTAAATCAGATGAATGCGTTATTAGAGATTGCTACTACTACTGATGCTAATATTAATGGTGATTTTAATACTAGTGATACATTGATTCCTGGAGAGAATGTTGCATTACAAGTTGAAAATGATTATTTAGCTGGAAATGGAGTTCTTGTAAGATTTTTTTATCGGTATTTGAGAAAAAATAAATTATACTTGAATTTTTCAAATGACTATTTTTTAATATAGGACTGGAGTGGGTTTTATCCTCCTTTGGATGTAGAATCTATCCAATTTCTACCAAGTTTAAATCAAAATCTTTCTGAAGAAACATTACAATTCACTTCCCAATTCGCTGCTTCTATTCAAAAAGATGAACAGGTCGGAAAAAGATGATTATTAATAAATGATAAATAATAATATTATATCTTATACATCTGCCTCTTCATAAATAATTCATATATAGGGTATTCCAATAAATGATTCAGATAACTATAATAACACCAAATTTGGTCACGCAGATCAAACATCTATAGAAGAACTTACCAATCAATTGAAAAGTAGTTTGAAAATATATGAGTCAACTAGATATGTTGGTACAGGGTCATTGTTGATGTTGAATGAGACGGGGGAAGAACAAATGATTCCGCAACCACAAGATGATTTATCTGTTATTGAACCATATTTAAAAATTATGCCTAATCCTAAAACAGCAGAAAGTTTGATTGATGTTTATTATCAGGTGTGTGTGCGCACGCGCATATAAACATTTTAATCTAAATGTTATTCTTAACAATAATATATATGTACTTTTTTGAAGAAAATATATAGACATTATCCTCACCTAAAGAGAAAAGTTGTACTTGACTGTTTCAAAGATTTATCAACACCACAACAATTTCTTTTACTCAATAGTGTTTTCTTTGCTGCATCTCCATTTCATCCTGATCCAAATTTACGAGATGGTGGGATACATTATCAGGTTTTTATTAATTAGATCATGTTTATTATTGATTCGTATAACTAAATGATTAAATAAATTCATTTATTATTTATAATTATTATTTAACTTTTTTATTTTTTATTTGTAGAGAGCATTAGGTATTTAGAAATTTATTATATGATTTTATTAAATAATATATATATATATATATATTTAATATTTAATATCTTTTTCATAAAAAATTAGCATTATTACAAAACCATTGTATCCAAACTCCGCATGTTTTAACAGTTATAAGTTTATTCATACTGGGAGTTAACATAAGAAAGGTACAAATATTTTTCATGATATACATTTACATCATTTATATAGAAAGTGATATTTTTAATTCACTTGGTTTTTAGTATTACTAGTATTAGAATTACTCTGTTGTTTTAATAATTCTTCCAATTACTTCTTTTTATCCGCTGATAAATTATTATCAAAAAAAAAAAAAGATGGGATCAGCTTGGATTTTCTATGGTATGGCAACTAAAATGTCATTCGAGCTAGGCTTGCATCGTAAAATCAAAAATGATCAAATCCAAAATACTGAAATTAAAGAAATGAGAGATATGGCATTTTGGGGTTGTTTTGTTGGTGAAGTGTATGTTTTTCTATTGTTTTTAAACATCAATCAGTTAATTATATTATTAGATATTTATCACTAAAATTTTTATTATTTCATAATAATTCAATTTTTCTTTGTCCAATAATTAGGTGGCTTTCTGCAACTTATGGTCGTCCGAGTGCTATAGATGAAGCAACTTGTGATGTGGATTTACTTCCAATACCGTCAGATCCTGAACCTGATGAAGAAACAAGACTACATATTGCTTGGATCTTACACATAAATTTATTAAGAATTTTTGCTCAAGTAATCAATTAAACATTATACTTTTATTTATACCTTGGAAAAAAACCACATGTTAAATATAAATGGAGCCAGCTTATTAATTATTAATTTTTTTTTGTTTATGTTTTAAAATAGATTCGTAAATATTTGTATGGGCATGCTAAAACAACAGGCGGTCAACACCAAGAAAATCAATTCAAATTTTTGGATGCTGCATTAGGAAGATGGTTTTATACTCTTCCTAATTGGTTGAAATTTGAAGAAATGGCTCAAGATGTTAAAGGAAGTTTTTTAGGTTCAATTGGAGGTAGTTAAAATCAAAATTTAATTAGATATAGTCTATATAAGTATACATTTTAAAATTGAAAAATCAAATTTTGTGATTGTATTAATTTTTTTAGGAGAAATGCATACTTTATTTTGGACGGTACTTATTCTACTTCATAGTCGTAATTTGACAATGTTCACATCAAACCATTTACCGATTAACAATATTGATGAAGAAACTAGAATATCATCACAAGCAATCTGTTTTCATGCAGCTACAATACTTTTGCATTGGCTTGATGTATTGATGAATTCTGTATCAGATTTTTTTGAACAATCATGTACAGCATTATTTTCAATAGCACCAGCTATCAGAGTTTTATCATGGACAGCACAAAAAGGGGACGAAAAGGCTGCAAGTATGGTGCAACGACTAAAAGAAATCAAAAACCAAGTTAGGGAAATTGCTAGGAGAAGGTTTGGTGGTGAGGGTAGATTGGATGGCGAGATGACATTGAAAAATTTGTTGATTAGTGCAAAAGAAGAGGAAACTAAAAATGCACAACAGATTAAATCAGAAAATGGCTTTACATTGTTTGAATTTGATGAGCACGATAATTATTTTTCTCATACAACAACTAATAACAATGGCAATAAAGGAAGAAAACATAGTTATAATAGAAGAAAAAATAATATGTCCACCTATCTACCTGATAATATAAATAATTTTAATTTTACATTTTCAATAGACGGTTTCAATAACAATTTTCAAAATAAAGTGTCAACACAACCATCATATCCTCCATCGTCTTCATCATTATCACCATCATCACCACCACCATCATTATCACCACACCCGCACCAACAAATTTTGACAAATTCTGACAATGTTACCAATTTACATTTCCAACCAATCATTGTCAATAACCCAATGACAAATATTTTATTTACTGATTATTCATCACATAATACAAACAATATTAATACTAATATTAATACCTCTGATTCAACATTACCCAATCTTACAACATCAACGTCGCCATCAATAAATCTTGATGTTACAACAGACTTTCTATCTACAAATTCACAGATCTTTACTAATCAGGGTGTGATTTTCTCTGAAAATGGTTTTAATGGTGACATCAGCAACAACAACAATAATGATTTTAATACTAATCATGATGTCAACCATACTCATAATAATGATGGGATTTTAAACAAATTCGATAATGGGGGCGAGGATAATAGTAAATTTGTGTATTATTAGTTCATTTTTCTTTATATTTATTTTTAAACAAATCTCAATAATTCATTTTTCTTTATATTTTTATTTTTAACAAATCTCAATGAACTTGTTTCCAAATTACAATCTAGAAATATTTTTTGTACATAAATAAGGAATAATTGATAATTCCTCATCCAATGTTTCATATTCATTTGTTTGATTATGCCATTTCATTATTTTTTGAATTGTTAATAAACATTCTATAGGTTGTAATGGCCCTATAATTTCTTGTAAAATACGCCAAATTTCATGTATATCTTGCTGGTCAAATATATGATCTGTTATTATTATTAACATATATATATATATATATAAGGAGGGACAAATATAAGTTATTATAACCAACAATTATGTATATAAATATATTAATTTACCTAATTTTAATAAAGGAATCGCATTGACTAACAATGCTGGCCAATAAGCTTTAGGTGCTACTTGTGATTTTATTAATTGTATTAATTCTTTGCCTGCGTGTTCATATTCCTTTTCCTATATATTAATTATTATAAGTGTTAACATATATAATATATTAATGGAATAAAAATAGATATTATATTGTGTGCTTGCCCTCATTAATTTATTAAATAATGCAAACTTTGATAAAAAGTTTATTGACACGTGTGAATATTCATCCAATGGAATATCATCAATTATATTTGAAAAATTAAATTTTCCTAGATAAATATAAAATATTTTAAAATATCGAAATATAATTTAATGTATACATAATCAATATCATACCTGTACTAATATAATCTTCTAAAAGCATTTGGACTATTTTTTCTAACCATACTGTTTCACCTGCTTGCATAAGGTATAAGATTGATGACGAATATCGTTGATTTTTTAAACATTTCTTGCCCATAACCTTTATTAAAAAATAATTTATTATTACAATAAATATAAATAGACTATATAAATATAAACTCAGGTGGTACCTTTAAAATAATTCTGGCTTCAGCTTTTAAATTTTTGGCTTTACAAATATTTAACAATTTGGCTGCTTTTCTTTCTGAATCAATAGGAACTTTAACAATAAGCTAGAAAATGTGTGAATATATAAATGATTTTATATAAATTATTATATATTTGTAATAATACCATTAATAATAATATTTATTTATTTGAATTATAACCTCTGATAAATATGATTCTCCAAGCATTTCACAATGATCTAAATATTCAAATCCTAATTGCCATAATACTTGATTGTGTATTAATAGTTCTGCATAATTTAACAGATAATATTCTCGGAGCTCAGTTGAAAAGGCTGAAATTTTATTTTTAGGTATTATATTAAATTTGCTTAGAATATCAGCCAAATGTGCAGCCAACCAGGAATCTATTAATTCACAATATCCTAACCCCTTTATGTTTTCAACAAAACCCCACCCCTCTCATGTAAATAATAATTACAAATTAACAAGTAATTAAATATATATATATATTAACTTACTGGAATTATCTCTCCTAACAATAATTTAAACAAGGCATTATCTATCAAGCTATTCGGATCTATTGGATATTTCTTTAAACATTTTATAACTATAGAACTATTTCAAAAAATAAATATTTATATATACTAATACATAAATATATACATATCTAAAAAAAGTAGTTGATCGGCAAAATAGATAAATTATCCATAACATATAAAAAATGTTCCTTTAATCCCATCTTGAAAATATGTAAAGTTTGGTCATCGGTTTAGAATTGATACAAACATAAACATGAAAAAGATTTATTCTACATAATATGTCATGAAACAGAATTAGAAAATGATTCTTTCCTATCAACAGAGCTAATTATCTAACTAAACACAAAGTCAAGTGCAGGTTGTGTGCACCACACCAATTATCGTTCTTCTTGAGAAATGTTGAAACATGTGTAAAACCAAAAAAAAGAACCTCTTAAAATAGTTTTGTGCTCATGTGATAATAAAGACACATGGTTTAATTTGCACGAATCATTATGATGACATCGTTAAAAAAGAACTTTCTATTGAAATTTTTTATTTTTTTAAAAAAAAATGACAAACAAACGTATATGCAAAATTTATAAATGTTGACACACCATAATGATGGCGAAGAGGAGGAAGGAAGCTTTGATTGTGGCAATGATTATGATGATAGTATATTAAATGAAACTTCAATATATATAACATACAGTACCTTAGCAAAAGGTTCGGTCACCCTAAACACATCATTTACACAAAAACTACATAATAATTGTACAAAAAAAATTATATCAACTTGTGGCATATGTTTTGGAGATCCTGCATATAAAGTTCATATTTATAAATTTTCCAGAACTTAAACAGTAAAAAATAAAAAAGTTGATCATTTTTGAAAAAATAAAAATTCGCGATAAGTTTTTTAATCTTTTCTCTAAAGCTTACATGATAACATTTTTACATCTGATAAATTAAGATCATCTGATTTTCAGGAAAAAAATTTTTTACATGATTTTGAATACTTTTTTTTTAAACGAATTTATTAAATATTTTGGTAAATTTTAAAAATTAATTTAAATCAAGTTGAGCGTGGACAAATTATTGGTCTCTATAAAGATGGAAATTCAAAAGTCAAAATTAGCAAAATTCTTGGTTTTTCTGGAAGGATGGCCAAGACAATCTCCTGACCTAAATCCAATCGAACATTTGTGGAATGAACTAGAGACTCATTTTCGAAAAAAACCTAGCCAGCAAAAAACTTAAAGGAGTTAGAGGAACTTTTAATTGAAGAATGGGATAAAATTCCAGAAGATGTGTACATGAAATTAATCGAAAGCATGCCTCGTAGAATTGAGGCATGTATTGCAAGTAATGGATGGCCCGCGAAATGTTAAATTAATAAGAGGTTTAGATCTGTTTAAAATTTACGCGTTAATAAAATTGATCCTCAAAATTAATTTTATTTTTCAAAAATAATCTCTGGAAAATCTAGAAATATGGAATTTATATGCAGGATCTCCAGAACATATGCCACAAGTTGATTTTTTTTTTTTTTGTACAATTATTATGTATGTTTTTGTGTAAATGATGTATTTAGGGCGACCGAAACTTTTGCTAAGGTAGTGTATATATACACGTTTATTTATTAACAAAATTTTCATCTCTATTATTCCTACATCGCCACAACAAAACACTACTATTATTACCACCCTCACCAATGATAACAATAATAACTTATTATTTAAAAAATTTAATTTGTTTATATATTATATATGTGGTTCGCGTGGTCTAGAGACTCCTGTTGCTGCGCTACGCGAACAGTTTCACATACACGTGATCTTAATAAAGAAATTTGTGATTCGTGCAACAACAATATTTAAAATAATGTTACTGCTGAATAATTGTAGGTAGGAAGAATGGAATGGGTTGACAGCAATTCTTTCTAAACGTTCATATTTCACCACCAAAGAAATAGTCAATTTAGAGATCTCTGAGACCATGTTGTTGTTTATTATCCATAAAATACTAAATAAAAGTATTGAAATTTAAACAATATATTTTGTCATTGAAGTAAAAAAAAAAACATTTTTAATGAAAGATATTGTCTCCACAATTGATTTTACCTAAAAATAAAACATGATTTCTACAAACAGGCACTTTAATTATTGTAAAAATACAAGAGTTATTTGTATTGATGCCTTTTTTCTTTTTTATAAATATCTCATTATAATGTAATCAAACATGGAGCAAGATTGCCTAAAAAATGATTTCCTGTACCCTGTACTTTTCCGGTGTCCCATTATTAATAATAAACAATTACAAGAAAGTGTCAAAGGTAACACAACTATCGAAAATGGCACCTAGGAAACTTGAAAACACTAATGATGAAACCATTCAATATGCAACATTGGATTATCGGAAATTTACAAATGTTGAAGTACATTACTTCAAATGTTTAAAAATTACAGTCATTCTCACATTCATCATGTACACGAGGTTACACTGACCTGGTTCCCTGATGATATAATGATAAACTGGATTTTCAGGGTGAATGCATGGGCCTGAAGTTTATCGAAACTGCATCATTGTCAAGGACACTTGCGTGAATCCTAATATTCACTCGCAGACCTGGATACGAGTATGTTAGCCAAAAAGTTCCCAGCAACAGTTCTATTTTTAGGGTAAAGATGGCTCTGCGAATAAGAATCTGAAAAATCAAGCCCAGGAGGTTGCAATTCAGGTGAGGTCTGGTTCGAGAGAAAGTCAACGAAGCCTTTCGCTTGTCCAAAACCTTCCAACTTGTCCAGACCCTTTTACCTGTGAAAAAAATTCCATGGTGCTTAATCGCACAATATATGCATGTTTGTGGCAGAAAATTTTTTTTTTAAATAATATTATTATTGTGCATGAATTGTAAAGATTGGCACCGCCTAAAAATTCTTTAATATTAACCGGTTAAACGGTTAATGGTACCAATCTCTAATACCAATAAGAAGATCTCATTAAGGTAAAATTACAGGGATTAAAATTTATGCAATAGATATCCCTGTTTGATTGTAAAAAATGTTAAAGTGAAATAAATACACTTCTCGATGGTTTCCACATTAACTTGTCAAGTAAATTCACTCAAAGTTTTGAAATAGACTTTTGATTTTCTGTCTTGGTAACTGAACTACCGTGGCAAGTTCTACTTTGGATTAATTTTTCCCTCGTCTAGTTACTTTTGTGATACAGGATTAGATTAACTGTTCTTTTTATACTTTACATTTTAACATTTGAAAAACAATTATCAGAAAAAAAATATATTTGAAAATAAAATAAGAGAAAAATATTTATATTATTATTTTTATATTATTGTCAATCTATTATTATCAATCTATTATTATTTATAATTTTTTTTTTTAAAAAGTGTAATTTTTTAGGGTTTCTACCAATTTTTCTTTGAGGTTGTGGTTTTTACCTATATAAACTCTAGCTATATAATCGGAGACAAAACGTTGAGGAGAATTCCTTGCTATTTTTAATACTAAGTCCGGATAGGATTCTGAAAATTTTATAAAACATTTAAGGTTTTTATAACGACTATCTGAAATGCTTCTATTAATTTCTTCAAATAATATTATCCTTGCATTCTCAACCTCTTCATCTGTGGTATTTTCTCCCAACATTTTTTTTATCTCGCTGTCGCTTAGAAAATCTTTAACTCCTCTTTGAAACAACATTCTTTCCCATTTACCTTCAATTGCCAGCCTTCTTAACCTCTCCAAATCTTTCTGAGGTAATTTGGACCTAATCAATTTATCATCATTATTGGTAATAATTGGTGTGAGACCGATCGCCAATTCGATCAGCCTATCTTTTTTCTCTTTTGGAAGTGTCAACTTTTTACCCTCATAAAAGTTTCCATTAAAAATCCATTTTGAGAGCAATTCACTAGCTTCGCTATTGCCCAGTTTTTGTGTAGCAGTTGAATATCTTTTGTGATAATATTTCCTTGAATGATGGTTTAGAAATTTTATCCGACTAATATTGTGGGTATCTTCCTTATAATTTAATATAGTTTCTCCTCTGTTTTTTATTACTTCAATTATAACATCTTTAACCATTGATTCAAGTTCACCAATTGATGGAGCAAGTCGACACATGTTTTCAGAAGCTTTTATTATTCTATTTTTATTAATGGCATTCAAACCAATGTTAGCTATTTGTGATAAAATTTTACCGACAATGGGAATAAACAAAATTAGACAGAGCCCAACATCTGCAAAAATAAAAATTTCGCTTTTATTTAGTTTTACACCGTCATGTAAAACTGTTTGAGCAAAATTGTAAGCTCTGGTAAAAGTATGCATAAAGCCGTCGTAATATCCATATAGTTCCATATTTACTTCGATCTCTGACATTGAAGGATAATTGTCCACAGTAGCTTGTTTTTCCTCTTCGCTATTTAATTCGGATTCAGCTTTAGAATTATTAATGGGGAGTCCAGGAGGTTTATGGCTGTTGACTGCGCCAAGACATGGAGATTCTGTTTCAATATTTGTTGGATTTGTTGTTTCAATTGGGATTGATTCACCTATTTGACCCTCTGAATTCTTCCCAACCACATTTTCTGAATGATCAGGATAACTATTGTTTTGTTTTACTTTGGTAGAAATTTTACCAAATGTATTTGCATTATCTAAAAGCTTTGATGTTTGCTTGTTCTCGCCTGATATTTCCTTTTTAGCGGAATTTAATTTTATATAATCTCCTCCACATTTTATAGCTTCTTCGATCGAGCTCAATGCTTCTTCACGTTCACCTGCGTTTTTTTGAGAAATAGCTTTGTGATAATAAAGATCAGACAGGTGATTATTTTCATAGTCTTGTTCTTTGCCCAATTCTATTGCCTTATCAAAAAAATCTATAGCATCTTTGAATTCTCTTGCTGCTTTTAACTCTTTCCCTCCCATTTCATAATACTTGGCTGCACTTTCAAAGTCCGCTAAAGAACTATCAAAACCTGACTTATCTGGTTCATGTAAGAGGGAACATAAACTTCTATAAGTATTTATCTTATCAGTAGTTGTTTCTAAGCTGGATATATATTTATGTCTTGCTGATAGAAAATCAATTTTAGTTTTGACTTTGTTGTGATGATAGTTTTCTGTTACCTCGGAAAAATTTTGAGTTTGGTGCCTTGCGTTACTTCTTTTGGACTCCATATTATTTTATTTGTGTCGAATAATAATATTGGATCTTAGAGTTTAAGAAAGTTGTCAATTGAACAAAAATTTATTTAAAATTTACTATAAATAATTTTTCCAGTGAATGAAAATTTTTTGATGATTAACATTATGAAACAATTGATCGTCAGGAGACGAATGCGTGTATGAAAGGTTATTTTACAATAAGCAAATGAAAATTCTATTATAATGAGTTTATCATAGGACTTTGCAAATGATGGATGTACTAGCTATTCAAGTGTGTCAAGATAAATCATAACCAATTAATATTAATGATTGAAATGATCGACTTCGTTTTATTAAGGCGTGCGTAAGGAGATCATGAGATCCAAAATTGACCATTATTTTTTAAAAATTATAGTAATTTTATGGATGATTTAAAAGAAAACTGATCAAGAATTAAAACCAATCCAATTTCATATGTTGATTATCACGCAATTGCCGCAACAAGTTGTTTCATTTGATCGGTAAAGTGTGGAGACCCCTCTATCGGCCCTCATTTTACTATATATATATGTATATAGAGTAAAGAAAATTCCAACGCATTCAGACAGGGGAAGTTGTACAAAATAGGCTTATCCTATTTTACCTCGCCGGGTGGATATTTACCCGGATGATTTTAGGTGGAAAATTCGAATTGATTTCAAATCGGGTAAATAATTATTAACCTCATAAAAAATTTTATAACAACAATGTTTTTTGCTATAAAGAAAACAAAAAAGATCCAATTATAATAAATTTTTATTCTTATCAACAATTCACTTTGTGTTTGTAAATATCAATAATTTTTTTATTTAGTAAAAATATAAGCCTAGTTTTTTTCAATAATCAAATTAATGAATAACTTTTGGTGTTTGCATAAAACTTATAAACTAATTTGTTTTCAAATAGTCTTTACTCATTTGCTTTTTGTCTCATATTTGCCAACATTGATTTCTTTGATTATTTGAACAATAATAAAAGTAATAATCAAAAAATAAATATCAAAAACAATAATTGAATGTCATCCATTTTATTTTATCATCAATAATATTTATCAAGTAAATTATATAATAATAAGGAACACAACAATATCTATTGTGGGGAAATTTCTATTTGCTTCCAGTTAGTTAATCATACACAAGTATTATGCAAAGATCACTTACAAAAAAAAAATTTTTCTTTAAACTAAACTAACTAACTTGGAAATAAAAGTTTTTATGTTGAAAGCAACAGACTTTGATCTGAAAACAATTCACAAGGAACCTCTGTTGTTTGCTTCAGTGCCCCCTGTACATTTTGTCTTTGGATTTTGACTTTTAAAAGTGGATTGGATGTTAATGTCGTAAATGAATATAAAGATTAAAAATTGATTGAATCAAAAAGGCTTAAAAGAAATGTAAAGGCCCTTGATTGATATTATGTGTACATTTATTTTTTTTATTTTAACACAAATAAAGATTGAATGCTCGTCGTGTCACTATTGCTTGCCAAAACTCGTTGCAGATTTTTGAAATCGTTTCCATATTTTAATTAGATCTGCAGTTTTTTTTTTATTCTGGCATATTAGAGTCGTACGGTAAAGGTTTAATTTCTTATAAACTTGTAGAGAAGAGAGGAGAAGAGAAGAGAGGGAGGAGGGAGCGTAGTCCATTTATATTGATAGGTTTGTGATCTGTGAAACCTGTTTACTTTTTTTCCATTACCATAAATTAATTTCAAAATTTGAATAAATAATTTACATGTATTAGAATGTTAGAAATTTCACATGTATCTAATTATTATTATTATCC